CACGCAAGCAAAGCAAAACAAGGAATTCATTCACTACTTCCCATGGGCATCTCCAGGAAAGCAGGGCTCCATCAACCATAACGGTTACTTGGGAAGACAAACACCATCGCTCCGAACATCCCCCCTTCCTACTTCTTCCCCCAGCTTTATGTGCTGAGCATGACATCATATGGTATGGGATATCCCTTTGGTCAGTTGGGGTCAGCTGTTCCAGACGTGTCCCCTCCCAACTTCTTGTGCACCCCCAGCCTACTCGCTGGTGGGGTGGGGTGAGAAGCAGAAAAGGCCTTGACTCTGTGTAAGCGCTGCTCAGCAATAACGAAAACATCCCTGTATTATCAACACTGTTTCCAGCACAAATCCAAAACATAGCCTCATACCAGCTACTACAAAGAAAATTAACTCTACCCCAGCCAAAACCAGCACGTTCTAATAAATTGTGTTCATGGTAATGATAAATTGCATCATACTGTCTGTCGCAAAGACATTGGGATACAGTGTCTGACTTGGTTAAAAAGCTGTGGAAAAGAAGCTAGTTTATTTCTGTTGGCCTCTTTAATTTGATTTTTCTCACTTCACCTCTTTAGTACAACAGTCCACTGAATGCTCTGAAAATTACGGGAGGACAAGTGCAGATAAATTGCTAATCCAGGCTGGGTGATGTTTTCCCTCTTAAAGAGGCTGGGATTTCACTAGGAAAAATAACATAATTTTGTGAGGGTGAGTTTGCTATATGAACATCATGCAACACAACTTTATGTTCAGAGACATCCCTGCAGGCTCTGCTTGGGGGTCTGCAAGATCGTTCTGCATCTTGCAGCAATATCAACCAGTGCTGTTAAACTTGTTTATCTCTGGTAAAATGCCATGCAATAGTGCAAACTAGTTAGCACTGTACAGCAGGAGTTTGATGGAGCTCAGGGCAGCTTTGTTGTGCTTATATTATTTCCAGTTTTGTACATCTATCCTCAAGCGTGAGCAAGGAGGGATAGCAAATGGACTGAAGTTACACGTGAAACCAGTGGTTTGTGTTTTGGAGTTCCTCACTGATGAGATGGGAAGCCAAAAGATGTAGGAGAAGATTGGGAGGACGAAAGGGGGAAGGATAAATTACACTTAATGAAATCATGTGTTATTTATGTGTATTCACACATGATAAGTACCTCCTCTCCAGGATCTCTTACAGAGATCCAGCTTGGATTCCTAGGTTTTTCCTTGAACATGTTTTTTCTAGTCTCAGTATTGGTTTAGTTAACCTACTTGACTACAGTTTCATGATCTGGCTATTTCATGAAGCCCATCCAGTATGAACTTCGAGCTTTCAATGCACATGGAGGGAGGCATTATGAAGACTTTTCTGGTCAGGATTCCTGGTCAAAGGGCTGCTCAAGGGCATCCTTCCCCTCATGAGTGTTGCTTTCCAAGTTTGTAGCAAGTGCTTGCAGAGGAGATGTTTCATCCCTGGTGAGGACTGACTATAGATGGCCATAGGGAATATGTAATATTAATGTGTAAAGTGGTATGCATACCTTAATATACATATGCCAGGTTGCTAGAATCCTTATTTTACAAGACGTGCAGTGTAGAGACAAAGAAGTCAAATTACTTGCCCAAAATACTTAGTGGAAGTCAGAGGCTGAGCCAGGCTGAGGATATGAGGTTTGCCCCCGGTGATATCCATGCAAGCTGGTCTGCTCAATCTCTCTGGTGTACTGGGGCTATTGAAAGTGTCCTTGGCCCCAGCTGAAATGGCACACCCTGCAGCAGTTGCATGTTTGGGAATACTGTGCTGCTGAGAGTAGCTTTGCAAGGTTGGATTTGTTGTTTGTCAGGCTGTTTGTTTATTTTTTCCAAGTCTGATGAGAGCAGCTTTGTAGGCTTTGGCTGTGTTGTTATTTTCATTAGTTTTCAAGTGCTGAGTTTGTTTTTGTTAGCTCACCTGTTTGTTTTAAAAGTCTTGTTTGTTCTTAGGATTGATGTTTCAGAGTGCTTTGTGCCATTTCCATGAGTCGTGAAGGCACCAGGAATTTTTATTGTTCTGATGAACTCTGTGGTCGCCACCAGCCCTGGGCACCTGACTGACAATTGGGCAGGCCGGCTTCTTGCGGACATCTGGACCTTCACACCTGTAGAAGATGGCATGGACTGACCACGTTAAGGCAGTCCAGTTTTGGACGTCACTGGGACCTCTTCCCAGCCCATGTCTGCCTCACTCCGCAGGATTGCCAAGAATGTTTTGCATTCACGTACGACTCTGTGCACAGACAGGTTGGCTTGTGGTATCAACAGGGCAGCAGGGCAGCCCTCACAACAGGTCTCACTGGCCCTAAAATCCACACCATGTCAACTTCCCATACCACTTTAAGAAAAAACTCAACAGTACAAAACTTTCTGAACACATCTATACTTGAAAACACTTATGTGACACAGAGTAGACAAAGCTTATTAGAAAAACAGGTTTCTTTTTGGCACGAATGGGTGGGGATTATGAAAATATCAGCACAGGTTAGGCAAATGTTTGTCCTCTCTCCTTTAGGAATGGGAAAGCTGCAAGAGATTTTCAGAGCTGTTGAGCTGAGATGGGAGAGCTGCTGGAGACTCCCAGCTCTCCCTCCTCTGGCTTCTGAAGGAGCATTAAAGCATGCTCTGCTGTACCCGAGATGGCCCAGGTAAGCCTTGTTTACTTTCCCTTATTCTTTATTGAAACTGCATTTGCATTGTAAGCCTACCCCAGACAAGCACTGCTGGCAGAAGGGTGATGCCAAGGGAAGTATCTTTGGAGGACAAAATTCCTTTTCTGCCATTCCACTGCATGCAAACATGTCTAATAGAGAGGGAAGGTGTGTCTAACACAGCACGACTGTGTCTCGTACTATATTACTCCATGTGCATGGGACAATGCCATTACCAGTGGCTAAAGCTTGAAGCTTTTGTCACTGAGTAATTAAATATACAGTGTCTAATGATACCACTATCTAAGACAGTGAGCCGTGTAGTTTTATTGGTCCGTATAAAGTCAGATTCAGTTATTGACTTATCAACTATACTCTTAGTTTTCTCAGACATAGAGATAGGATTAGCAATTGTTTAAGTGACATCTCTGTTTGACTAAGGGACATAAAATCTGGCCTACAATATAAAGGATTGCACATACTTATAGCCCGCCCACCCCCAGTATCCAAAGCATAGTCTTTTCAACACAGAAAAGTGAAATGTTTGTCCTCAGGGTTTCCTGTGCCAGTTCACAGATGGGGGAAATTAACGTTTGTGATGGCTAGCAGAGTCTAGTGTGGACGAAGCCTGAACCAAATTCTCAGTGGGTAATTTTCAATTGACTTTTGTAGTCTCTGAACCAGACCTGAAGTGACTGTCAGTTAAATCGGGAGTAATTTTGGGCAAAATCTGTCTACTTCCAGATGAAAGAAAAATCAGTTGAAACTTTGTACTGAAGAGAGAAAGAAGGGAGTAATTATGGTTAAACACTTGTCAGAGCAATTCCGGTGAACATGTAGTATCTCTAATCTGAGATAGGAGGTCAGCCTCATCTGATTTCTTTCCTTATACGCTGACACACATCAAGCATGCTGGCTTCTGACTGAAGTCAGAGAGGCTGCTTGTGAACTAACCTAAAGCTATCTGAATCTGTTCCAAAATCATGGCAAAATCAGGTATGTCTAGCTGCAAGCAAGCAGAATCAGTGCTTGCTTCTCCGTGTTAGGACGTTACTGAGATATTAGTGAAATGCATACCCATCCTATAATCAGTACTGGCTTTTTGAACTGTTATAATCAAATAAGAAGTCTGAGCTCATATGTAAGGGAGGGGTAGGGATATAACGGTTGATGAGAACCAGATTCCACTTGAACTGTATTGCTATAAATAGCAACAAATGTAAAAATAGTTTGTACTGATGCTATACTTTGAAATGAGCCCTGTAAGAATGACATTGCAAGGGCCAATACACTTAACTATTGCTGTATCCTTTATGACTTAAAGATCCTAGTTTTATCGAGAAGAAAAAACAAATGTTCTCAATTTCAGTTCTGCAAATTTAGCCTTGTCCATAAGAGTCAGGGTGAGTTATTCCTGGCTCTGACAATGCGAAAAATAAAAATAGCAGGCCATTTACCTCTTCTGGAATATCTCTCTGTAAGTCCCTTGAAACCAGTGGAAATAGAAGGATATCTACCATTTATAGATTCAACATTACCGTATAGAATTTGTGGTCAGGCTGACGTGAGGAGGAAGGGAATGCTGGTTTTCCCATCCCTCCTGTCATGCAGGATTAATAGAATTAAAGCAACAAAATGTTTTTTACTAAAATAAACAAAGGACTGAACACACAGAGGGAACAGACCTATTGATTGAAGGACTGAGCCCAAACTTATATTCAGACATTAAAGAAAACAGTGCTTTTCATAGATTATTCACTTCAAGTCATTTTGTCATTCAAGAGATTTACCATCCTGCCTGCCTCACTACTTTACTGGCCAGTGTACTAATGTTTAAAGAAATGCCAAGAAAACTGTTTCTTAATCAATTTTGTTGCAGAGGAAGGAAAGGATCCTACAGGGCAGGAGGATGGGACTAAAAGTAAATGAAATGTTAAGTTCGGTTTCCGAGGAGACCTACGTATGGTCAGGATTTATGTTTGCTTTGGTCTGACAAGACAGGCTGGCACCGGCGTTTTCTACGCTTTCCTGTTGCTCCTGCAGGGTTCATCTGGAAGAGCACTAAGAGCAGCCCGTGGGTGACGCGTCCCCACTGTGCGCTGCTGCAAGGGGAGACTGAGGACTGGGAAGCCCTGGAAAGCTGTCGGAGGCATGCGGAGAGAGCTGCTGGTCCAGGTATTTGCTCCCATTTCAAGTCCCACCTTCCTCCCTCTCCCTTCTTGACCTGCTTCATGGGCTGGTGCAGAGGGGGAGGAGGAAAGAGTAGACCCAGGGCTTTATTTCATTGCTGGGTGCTCCGAAAAGGTAGGAAAAGACTGAAGCGTGTGTGTATAAAGTCCAGTGGTGCTTACACAGGCACCACGAGGCTGGGGCAGTATAGATGTGTTTAACACTTGCGCCCTTCCCTGTCCTTCTCCCCAGCAACACATTCATTGAAGGACCTGGCAGATTCTGTCCCGTCGGTAGTTAACTTAGCATTAGGGCTACTGGAAACGCCTGAAATAATCCTCAGGGTACGTGAAGACCTTGGTCTGGTGATGTTGCTGTGCACCTCTAAAACTGGTCTCAAGGGTGCATGTTACTGTGCCGCTACAGGGTCTGAGTGGGAGTTCAAGGAATGTGCTGAGGTGGGACAGCAGAGCAAAGAAGTAACTTAACCCTTTTGCAAAGCTCCCTGTTCTTTGCTCGTGGTGTTTGCTCAGGGACACGACGGCAGTGGGCTTGAGCTCCCCTTGAGCACAGTGTTAGAAAATGTGTCCAGGGCTAGGCATGGTGCCAGTTGCTTGCTTTAGAAGAAAGGGAAAAGGCAAACACATCTGGGGCTGATGCTTCTATTGCTCACAGACACCAGCAGGAAACAAATCCATTGATGTGAGTGGGATTATATTAGTGCAAAGCTACTATTTTGTGGACCCTTTGGTGGGCAACGGAAGGGTTGGTGGTCTTAATTATCCCCCCGTACCCATGGAGAATGGTCATGTAAGGCAGCCAGATCTCCCTCTGTCACCTTCCTTATCAAAGGAAAGCTACTTAGATGGTGCTGGTACCCTGTCACCAGCTGTGGGCCACTCTCCTGAAGTGGGGAGCCGAGTATCCTGGAATGATGTAGTTGCCCTGGCCCCATCAGGGATGGGCCTAGTCCAGTGCTAAGGGAGGAAACAATGTTTTTACCAAACGTCTGATCTACTGTTCCGGTTAATCCATGCCTAAGATCCCTTGGAAAGAAAATCCTCAATTCATGGATGTGGGCTAACTATTTGCATCCACTTCTTTTTTCACTCAGACCGATGGCAATTTGGCCATTTCTATCCATCGAAGCAGGGTCATACCATTTGTATTCCATGTCAGTTGAAATAAAAGTGATGTGTGACTATATATCTGGAAGAGCTTAAAGCAATAAAAAAGGATTACTGACAATCTAGCAATTTAATAGACAAACAATATCTGCAATTTGTTTTAGGGAAACAAGACAATTTCCCTCTTCACTGTTAACTGTACTGTGCTGGTTCCCATTAGGTCTGCTTAGGGGACTGTTCATTTTGCTCATTTAACCGGATTTTGTATAGAATTAAGGTACTTTATATAATACTTCTGCAGAATGAAGAGGACACTCAGCTAGATAAAAACTGTTGCATAAAAGCCCAGCAATCATAAGACTTGGCCGCTTCCTAATCCATTCCAGTGTTTGTGGAAATCACTTATTCCAGATTACCAACATATTGATTCAGCTCTAGTACCCCAGAGGGAAAAAGCTGGAAAGCTAAATGATCGCCATGCCCATCCGTTAGCTATTTCACACTAGGTAGCACAAGAAATGCCATTTGTTCTGCAGATGTGCATGGTTCTGCCTCTTCCTTCTTCATCTGAAATGCAACATCCCTTACCTTTGTTCTCTTGGTAACAAGCGCAGACCCAAAGCTGGTGGTTGTTTTACTTGTGATCAGTCACGAGGAAGAACCTGGGACACTCTGTGGCCAGAATATCAAATTGGGTGTCCTTCACTGCTCCTGGTTGTTTGCAATGCAAATGGGAGGCTTTGTCTCACATACTACCATATCCATGGTAACCAAATGAAGACAAGTTTGCATTACTTCCTTAGTAAAGTGTAATCCTTCCCCTGGTACATGTGCCAAAGAGGCATACAGAGTTAAAGGGACAGCAATATATTTCTTGGAAATGGAAGCAACCAAAGCAACTTCTGGCTTTTTTTTTCTGCTGCCCTCACTCCTCCACCCTCTCTTTCCCATTCTGTCTTCTTCTAGTGTTCCCATTGTTAAAAACTAGACTAGTCCTAATTTCTGCTTTCCCTTTGCCTAGAGGCTGAACAAACAATCATTCCTCTGAACTGTCAACTTAAACACCACTTCTTGGCAAACAGCCTTTCCTTGCCCTTCCTGGTACCTTTGGGGAAAAAAAAATGGGGGTGGAAAGCCAAGCCAAGAGCACGAGTTCTTGTCCTCCAGTTTTTCAGGCTTTGGGTCTGTGGCAGAGCAGAACACAGATGCACCAGCCTGCAACTATTACATTTATGTTAACAGCTGGATCAAGCCATACAGGTTGGAGCTTATCAATTTTTTTCACTGTAGTTGTTAAAAATTTTAGAAAGCCTTTTATTTTTTCTCTTCTAATCTGTAAGGTATAATGTCAGAAATAATAATCTATTATCTTTATTTCTGGTTTTAATTCCAGTTAAAAGAGCTTAATTCCAGATTTAAAGAGCTATGTTTTTTTCTGTCTCTTTTGACCAGCCAGAGGATGTTTTTTAGCAAAGAGACCAGGCTCAGACTGAACGTACCTCAAAATTATTGCTGTTGTTACTGTTTTCACTGTTGTTGTTTTGTTTTGTTGCTTGTGACAACCTGTGCACCAAATTTATGCACTTTCCCTTATATATCTGGGAGGCTTAAAATACAACTCTTTCCCTCCCTCTTCAGCAGTCTTATGCTGTTTCAAATGGAAACATCTTTAGCTATTGTTATTTAGCATTATCTGTTATGTTTCTTCTCAATTAAGAGTGAGCTCACATTGTGATTAAAATGCAGCATGATGATACCATCAGCTTCCAATTCGGTTATTCACAGTGAGCAACAGTGATTGTCTCAACCAGCCCTAGGACTTCTACTTTGACAAGAGCAGAACAAGTTGATATTGTGGCCTCCGAGCAGGGATTTTACCAAAGGCTTCACACAGAGAGAAACTTACCCAAATATATATTTACCAACATATGAGAAGTTTTGAAGTGTTATTACAAGCTTTCACTACCTGGCACTCTTCCAGAAAAGCTTCATTCCCTAGAGTCACTTCACTTGTGACTTTTCACATGGAAGTTCCAGGGGTGCTTTGAATATCAAACCGACTGTCCTTGATTTCTCTCAATGCAAATGGCAGGCATGCTGAAGAGAAAAAATAAATAAGTATCTTCCTACAGTAGCTAGGATTTCAGTGTGCTTAACCACTCACAGGTTGATGGGCAGGGAAAGGGGACCTCAACTTCATTTAGCTGCCCAAAGTCAGGGACTAAAGTTGAAGACTGAAAAGGTTTTTGTCATCTCCTTTTGCTTCTACTAAGATAGAGAGAAAACAAAAGTCCTCAGTCTTCAAGCAGTGGTTCGTCCCAGTAAATGGCAACTGAAAAGAGTTAATACCACACACCAGAAATTATGGTTGTTCCTGCTTGAGGGCACTGTGCTAGCTGCATCTTTCTTCTTGTTTACTGGAGCAGAGATGGCTAGATAGATACCATGAGCTTTCTCCCTGATGGAGCTGCCATAAAAAGCACAGCTAAGCCAGAATGCCAAACACAACTGTGTCACATAAATGATTCCGCAGTAATAGTATGAAGGATCTTCTTTGTTGTTTTCCCCACATTCTTTTCTTTTTTTAATGGTTACCTAAATGCAGCGATTGATTCAGAAACTAAATATATATGAGTTCATAGAGTTGATAATAGAAAAACTTCTCATCCTAGTTATGGGATCTGAAAAAAGCATTTTTTTTTCTTCATTCTGTATTGCAAAAGCATACTTAGTGTTCTGCTGTCATGCCAAAACAGCCCCATCACCATAAATATGCTCAAATACTTTTCTGTATGGAAATGGAATTTCTTGGGAAGTTAACGGCCTTCTTAAGTCGAAGTATCTGAGATTTGCTGCTACCTCCTAACTCATATCTATATAACTACAAGTTTAGTTGCATGTTTCTCAATATTAAAGTTAACTGTGCGCTGTCTGCTCAAGTATTGGTGCACCTGGATATGGAGATGTTTGCATTCATAAACGTCTAAAGAAAGTGGATAAATATTAACCAAGTGTGATTGAGTAATCAGCTGACAAATGGAAAAGGAAGAGTAATATTAACAGCGCTATCCAGTAGGTATCATAGAGTGTGAGGAATATGGTGTGAAGCTGATGAAGTTCAAGATCCTGTTTCAGTGAAACAAACACACTTTACTGTAGTTGGTGGCAAGGAGAATGGTTCTGTTAAATGCTGGCAACCGAAGTGAGACAAATCTGTCTGGGAACCTGCCATAAACTGTTTATGTGTTTTTCAATTTTTAGAAACTTTTCATTTCTTGCATTCTGTTGTAAAGATCTGGTATAAATTTCTCGCCGATGCAGAATCCTCAATTTTTACCTTGAAACCTCCTTGGAGGGGAGGGGGAGAGGAAAAAAAAAAAAGAGAGATTTCCAAGATGTTCTCAGTGTGTTATCAAATGAACAAAACACACAGAACATGGAAACCAGCCAGTCATTCATTCCATCAACAGATTTGCGGAGCTAAATTTGCTTCTGGAGAGCAGTTAGAAATTAAAACACACAGATGATGAGTGGTGCTGGCACCCAAACTGTGATCAAGAGGACACTCTTGTCTGAAAAGATGTACCCTATCAGATTAATCATTATGTGTTAATTAATTTGAAATCAAAAGGATGTCTTCTGCTGTCTATGCACAGGAAATTAATGGTGATAGCACTAATTAAATGTAATGGAAGTTACCTCTGTACTTCCCACATCTGGGGTCAAACTCTTTATTGCCCTTCATGTTGTGTCATTTACAGTTCAGTCCCATTGTAGCATCTTACACTCATTGTGCCCTGCTGTAAATGGTTGTGCAAGTCGTCAGGTAATGGGGAATGAGGCCAGCGGATTACTCAGCTAGGAAATGAGCTAATTTCA